GAGTGATAATTTTCTCTTGAGAGAGGAAGTCAAAAATGGCACTTTTCACGATCTTTTCCAGAACCCTTGAAATAACAGAAGTTAGGTTAATGGGTCTGTAACTCATGACACTTGAACGGGAGCCTGACTTATACCTAGGGGTAATGTGCGTGGTTTTCCATGCATCTGGATATGTTCCAGTTGATAGAGAGATAGAGAACAATTTAAGAAAGAGAACAGGGATGTCTTCACCACCGTATTTTAAAAAAGTTGAGGGAATCATATCAGGACCAGGGTTGTTTGAACTTTTAAGGGACGTGATTGCTCTCTTAATATTATCCAAAGAAAAGCTGATAGTTTCTAAAGTTTTTTGTGAACGTACATGGAATAGAGGTTGTGGCGACGTGTTGTCATCATGGGCATATGACCGTGAGAAGTAGGAGTTTAGAAGCTCACAAATTATTTTAGGGTCAGTAGCAGTCTCACCATTTTCTAAGATGAATTGTATATCTGTTTTACGAGAGTTTAGCCTTTTGCGATAAAGCTTACAGATTGCAGTGTATTTAGAGCTGTCTTTAAGGGCTGCACTTTCTTGTCTGAGTAGAACGTTGTCGTTATTTTCTTTCAATCTGAGATAAATGTTCTGTATATTTACAAGACACGAGAAGTCATTTTCTTTATGGTACTGTCGGTGCAGCTTTCGCAGCTTAGCCTTTACTTTTATAGGAATGAAATTCTTTATGTTTTGTCTTGGACTCTCTTTACATTTAGGAACAAGTTTATCAAAGCATATAGTTACATTCTGGTAAAAGGCTATTAGGATAGTGTCTAGGTTGCTACTAGAAAAGAAAAGGTCCCAGTCTAAGCTTCTAATGAAGGAGTGAAATACATCCCACCTAGCTTTTCCGAAGCACATGAATGTCTTGCGCAGGGTAAAGCATTTTGATGAGTGAGGCTTGGTATCGAGGGCGCAGATCATTGTGTTGTGGTCACTACCAGGAAATGGTTGGCTGATGTCTATGGTGGATAAGGCAATGTCTTTCAAGAAAACCAAGTCCAGTATATTGTGGTTTCGGGTGGGCCTTAGAATACTTTGTGTCCACCCACATAACTCAACCGCATCTAAGAATTTGCTGTAGCGGGGAGGAGCACTGATGGGCTACCATGAAACTTCAGGCATGTTAAAATCCCCTCCGATCACTTTATAAGTAAAGTTTAATTTCGAAGTGTAATGAAAGGCTGCAGTTATTTCACTTAGCAGTTCACTGTCATGGTTGGGTGGGCGATAGATGCAACCTAATAACAGAGTTTGCTGTTTATTTATGTAGAGTGTCACCCATAATGTATCGCATATATCAAGGTTAGGGTCATCGTAGTGCACAGCTCTGTAGTCAGATTTAACGTAGATAATGCAGGCTGCCAACACCCACAGGTGATACAATACCAGATTTGTTAACTGACCAACAAGTGATAAACCGGGAATGTGCCTAGGCAAATGGGATCTCATATATTCACCAATCGATTCCACTGTGTGAACAGTACAACACACTAACAACAACCTCAAGGCGGTTCCAATTACCTTAAGCAACAACTCTAGCATGCTACAAGCTAACGTATCTCACTGAAAGAACTCGAAATTCCAGATGTATCGGTCTATTTTTGAACCACAGTGATAATGATAAACTGAAATGACTTGAGGAAATATTTCAGACATAGTGATTTCCGTTAACTGGTTTGATTCTGTGTTCATTAGTTTTTCAGTGTGCGTATGAAAAATACAGAATATATGACACTAGTCAACTCTTCAATGTGCATGCTATCTGCGGGCTTCCTAGAAAGCTATGGCATTTTGGATGTCGAATATCTCACCAGTTTAATTGAGAATTTAAATTTCAAGCACCGAAGGAGTGCAAATGTTGAACAGCACAATTAGATTCCCCACATAATATCAAGATATTGTACCGCTTGATTAAAGTCATTTGCCGCCCCTTACATATTTACGTTTGAAATTTGGTGTAGATAAAGTATTTCAGCACTGTTTGGATGTGAAAATGATTGGAGCTGGAACTTGGTCATGTGAAGTAACTGTGAGTACAGTGAGGTTCGGCAGAGTTGCCGCTGGGGATGCTTTCTGTTGTGAAGTTTCTATTAGTTAGTATTAGAGAAGTTAGGCCGATGATTATTATATCTCGTAAAAGCTTTCCTCAATGAGTCACACACTATAATATATATAATCAATGACTTGGTATCAAAATAATAATTTATATAAATTATAAACGGGCAAGTTTACAAGATGGGGCTAAAATGCTCAAACACAAAATAGTTTCATCTTAGCTGTTCAGAGTTGCTGAGACTGTAAAGGTATCACATCGTGGATGATTGTGAGGACGACTTCCTTATATTGGAAGTGTCGCCTAACGTTCCGACAAACAATTCTGAAGGGAAGGAAGTGCAGCTGAGGTCGCAATGAAGCTAATAACTCTTAGGTGCTTGATTATAAAATGCCACCTTAAGCAAATGGTTCCTAGAATGAATACCAGGCAGGGAGTTTGCGTCTCCAATACCTATTATTATTAGACTGTTGAAACTGTTAGATATCGAGGAGATTTGTCATTTGAATTGAAGCCCGTCCATCTCACCCCGTCGATCAATTTGCCTCTGCCAACTCAGCCAAATTGCACACAACTGGATTTTCAAAAGAAAATGAGCGGCTGCTGTATTGTGGTGTGTTCGCGTACTCTGGATCACCTTTATTGTTGACAAAATTGTATCCCTAAACACCCGCAAATATTATAACGTCCCTTCACTTGTTGGGGAGCAGCCTATTTGCTAATTTAGGTAGTTCAGGCTACGGGCCAGCCACAGCACAGAGCTAACAGTGTAGATGGCCATTCAACAGTCTCAGGAGTTGTTTCCAGTTGGAGCCAACCGGAAACGAGTTCGAAAGCACCCAAGCAGTGTAACTTGCTGGCTTGCTAGATCAGTAATACACACGGATTCACTGCGATCACTTCGCTATGTATACTATACTGCCAAACTTTTCAATCACCTGTCACAGGCACCAATTCTAGTGCAGGATCCAGAAGAGGACTGACGGAAATGGTTGGAGAGATTAGTGGATATCAAAAGGATATCAACTACATCCGCCTGGACCAATTCATTCATAGAATGCCATTTAATTTCTCTACGCACACACCATAAAATTGGCATGATTTTTATCATGGCCGCTAGACAGGGATCCGGTGAAACATTTTCGTGCCTGCTTTATCTATTATTTGAATAAGTGTATTCATTCATGCGTAAAAGTCGCCTTCGGAATTAAGAATGAGAGCGTCATATATAGGGTAAAGAAATGTTTGTAGAAGATTGGTTGTGATAAGTTGTTCTTCTTCGCTTGACTGCGAAAAGTATACTCATCCATCAGCTTTTCGTGTTTAACTTGAAGTCTGGAAATGAACGTTGGGCCTTATGTATTCGCGAACTGCTAGTAAATAGATGTTCACAGAGTAGAAGTATATATTTAATTGGTATGCTCATCGGAATCTCATCTGACTTTCGGTGTTCTACGCAGGTATATATATATTTATTCCTGCTTATGCAGGAACATACCATAGATGGCAAGAACTGTCCTAATCGTACCTTAATGCTATCAAATCTATTAAATCCTGGCAGTCTCAGCACTACTTCCACTGAAATTAGGATTGTATGAATTTAAGCTAAACACCGGTTTCGTGAATTCGAAGTGCAACCTGCTTCTATCATTTGGACTAAACAGGGCTAAATCAAATGGACGAAAGGCTTTAGATATTATGGTTTGGGGAGTTAGAGACAAGAAAAATGGAACTGTCATTTAAATACAAGGCAATTTAGGAGAATGAACAACGGACAGATTAAACAATCAGTTTTTGAGTATCACATCTACTGTATGGCATCAGGAGTTTAGTTTCTTGTCTATTTTGAACTTGTGCAACTGCATTATTACGAGAAGCAGGAGCTTCCAGTATGCTCTGTTCCAAAGTCTCATTCAAAAAATTGGCGGTAGGGTGATACTGAGGTTACTGGTGCTTATTAGAGACATTCTACAGCGGCTCAGCGGGTTGTCACTGTTTTCCACATTTCGCTACTTCAACTATTCTGGTTGAAACGCACATTGACTATTTTCTCCTAGTGTGCCCCAACATCATGAAATGCAGTGTTTTTGTCACTTGTGCATCAACTGGGGAATAGAAAAAATCATATTTTCACTTAGTTATTAAGAATGAATATTGAGAAGGTTCGTAATTTTTGACCTGGCACTACGATGCAAATCCCTGGTTTAAGTGTTAGCAATTCAAAATCACTTCTAGGGAATACATGGATGTGTGTCAGCCAAATCAGCTACTTAGAATAAGTGAGACGCCATTAATAAATTCACAAGGAGTGCGAAATGAACGCTGGCCGGTAAATCACAACTGAAAGACAGTTGCACGGTAAAATGCAGCGTAACTTTTTGTCCAAGTAGGGAATTCAGATGTGTCAAGGAAAACGTAATGAAATCCACAACCCATGTTTGAGCAAAAAGGACCATTTATTGAAGGTATACATTGGTTCCGGAGATTAAGTGATAACCACTGGTCAAATATGTTCAAAGTGGATAACTAATGTACGCGTCTTAGCAACGCATATATCGTGAGTTTTTGCTGTCTTTCCTAATTATTGATGGAGACTGTGGGTTATGTTTGTCCTCTGTTCACATTAAATCCTTTGTCTATGTTTTTTATGCCTAATATAGTAAACTTCACTCCAGGCCTGCTTCATTAAACGGGCATAAACTTCTGAGATTATAATATTTTATAATATCAGAGTCTTTTAATCAGTGAATTATCTCAACCAGTTAGATTTATTAGAATAGGAAAAAAAAACAAATGTATCAACTTAAGCGAACCTAAGATTTTTATCATAAAGCAATGTTATCTGAAACTATTTGGCGCCCCGTAATTTACTTCTGTGAGCACTTTTGAATTTGTTTAAAATAAATAAAGATCATTAACTATTTAAATGCACGAGTTTGATTTATTCGCGTAATTCGCTAACAATCAACTTTCTGTGAACGTTGCAATTAACTAGCATCCTTAACTGGTGTTCACATATCTGTCATAACCACCATGGTGCATTTGTTCATAATAATATTAATCTTAGCATATTTTAGAAGGAAGAGACTAAAAATAATATATATGGATGTATTGCGGTTGTTGGTGCAATTTTGATACACTTTACTTTCGGATACTTTTACACTGTTGGTAGGTTTTACCAAAAATAACACGCTTCTGGTTCAGCCAATATGGTTCCTTATATTATGGGTTATATGCAGACATTAGTAGACACCAGTCTTACCAGTCAAGCTTCTATTTGGTTGTCAGCCGTTGCGCTGGGAGTCCAGGGAATTTCTATGCCGATTGGCGGGATTATAGCTAACAAGTTGGGATTTAGATTGGTTGTTGCATTGAGTTGTATTACAACAAGGTGAGTCAGATAACGTTTGATTTGTTGGTCCAGATATATTCTCACTTTTGTATAAGGACCCAGTATTCATTATCGTATTTACGAGCCAGTGTAAATCAGTTTGATAATACACCCTTTATTCTACAGCGAATGATATTCTTCAGCTTAGTTGCGCATAGTCCCCACAAGGTACTAATTTTGTACATCTTTTTATTAACACACTCCGCATCCCCTTATGTCAATTTATGAGAATCTAATGGCGTATTTCAACTATCGTTAACAATACGGTTAGAAAATATGCCTAATTTACTACCTATCATGTCTAATTTGGGCAATATTTTTGTGCGCCTCTTCCCAAGTTTGCTTAATGTTTCGAAATGTTAATGTAATATCATTAGCTCACTATCAGTTTTCCATTGTCAAATCAATAGTTGATGTGGTTTTATGGCAGGCGACTCCGAAAATGTCGCAAAATAGTTTTCACGTAATTTTTCATATATTTTTTTATCAGCTAACAGTAAATTCTGGCCTTTGTTATCAGTTAACTCTGTATGTATAAACTTCTAAATAATTGCAAAACCTTGAGGGGAAGTTACGAAAAGAAGTCTTTTGCTGACTTATATGTTCTTAATTTTATCCTAATTTTTTTAAAAGAAAGACAATGCTCTCTATTACATCTTCGTAAAGAATTCTTGTTTTATTTTACAGTGGTCTTCTAGAAGTTACTTCTGACTTCACAGACCCCATTGTTGAGCTGTTATTTATTCTCAAGAGCACTAAATGATGGCGTTATTCTGAGAATACCAAGATACTAAATAATCACCAATTTCTTCAAGGAAGAAGATTTTGTTGCACCTTATTTTACAGTGTAAAAGATTGCTTTGTTGGTTTTCGGGAAAATCGATGACTATATTTTTCGCTGTAATTGTGACGAAAACCATTTATAGTGGTTATCTGTAAGATGTTTCTTTGATTTCTTCCTAAAATTTCCATTTTTTCATCCATAGTTATGAATGTTATGTGCTTATTTTGTAGTGGTGGTGTCATACTGACCTACTTTACTATCCAGAAGTCTTATATCGGAGTGGTAATAACCTACTCAGTCTTATTGGGAAGTGGCTTGGGACTTGGTTACTCAGTAGTATTGGCAGCTGCATCCTCGGTAAGAAGTTTAATATAAACGTCTACTTCACTTGCGTAGCGCCATTTACATAAAATTTAAATAACGTGCCTTTACTGATAGTTGAGAAAAATTATTTCACATACCTAAAAAACTTGTAATAACTGAGAATATACTTGAGGATAGGCCAAAATAAACCTCATTTTAAAAGTGAATGATGGTATATGTTAGTGACCGGCGTAAGCTTGCAGTATATCTAAAAACCGTACTTTGCATTTCATTATGGTCGCAGAAGACATTAAGGGAAATTCGTGTCAATATATTAAACTGATTTGGCCGAAACGTCTGTCGATTCATCATACGCTTACATTGACATTTATTGTGGCAAAGTTGTAATGAACCTATTATAAACAGAATAAGAAACTTGTTTCCGTTTACCTTGTCTATACAACTGTTATAATTGTAATTATTTGTGACCAGGCTAAATGAAGAAACATTAGAGAAGCTCACTTTAAAAATTTAATCCACTTAGAGTTAAAACTTGGATTTATTTTTATTAGGAAATGAACCACTTCTTTTTAGTAAGAGCAGGGTATCTACTTTGATTTTGTATACTGCACTGAAGCGGTTTGCAAAGAGGAACTGCAAATTATATGCTTAATGCAATTTTGTATTTTCTGCTCGTAAATTATCCCAGAAGGCAACAATTTGGTGAAATTTACAAATGATATTGGTATAGATTTATCTGTTGCTGCAAAACAGGATATTTGCCGATTTAAAACTGCCTCAGTTTTATAAGAGAACAACAAATTTCAAATCACGTATAAGTGTTACTTGGTTAGACATCTCTCGTCTTGGTAAAAAGTTTTCTATTCACAATCATTAGATTGTTTTGGCAAGATAATTACATTGAGGTCACTTTCCATCGAACCCTCCAAAAATGTATCTTAATAGAATAATGCACTTTAATGTGATAAAAATATGAATAAAGTATGTTTTTATGTATGTATCGTAAAATCTTCGAATGTTTATTTTCTTTCAATAACAGAACTCTGTCTTAAGAAGATACCTGATTTTCATTACTTTATAGTGGTTTCCAAAACGCCGAGGACTTATTGTTGGACTGGTTGTTGGGGGATTCGGTCTTGGAGCACTAGTTTTCACTCCAATTCAGACGGCATTAATAAATCCAAATAACGTGCAAGTGGACAGTGTTACCAGGTGAGGGACCAGAGCAGTATGCTGACTGCTAAATTTTGAAATTTTTATAGTAAGCTTGTCACAGATTTTGATAACGCTATGAAAACACTGAAGTCCTTGGTTTGTGATTAAGGCACAATCGGCAACTGATTATGCCATAATACGGACGTTATCATACTTGATTATTCAAATAATAATGAAAAAAATAATAATGAAAAGTCACTGCTTAGTATTTTTGAGTATTTAATGAAGAAAAACCTAGTATTACAGTTACACGAGCTACGGATTCCAAAGTCTGGTTACTACTTTTAACTTTAAAACTTTAAAAATCATTTGTATTGTACTGAAACGTTTGCGGTTTTGAGGCCAGAGGTTTCAGATTTTACTACTATTCAAGTAATAACTTCCAAGCATCTATATATTTTAAAGTAGGTGAGGGTAACAGACAATTAGTTCAACGTAATGTTATTTGTTCTAACTCCGCGTGGCCCTTTGGTTTTGAGCATTAAGAATAGAAAATATTTCATTTTCAAGAGAGCAGGCGTCATTCTAATATTTATCTATGTCGAGGTAACTAATTGTGTCAGCTGTTTATTTTAAGTAAAAATTGTGCGGAGTAGTGTTCGGATACTCCGAACAAAGTAACCGAACAGTAGATACCATATTTTAGGTTCATATTTTAAATGTAGGTTTCATTATTCTAACACACAAATAAACGATAAGACACTAGACTGCTAGGAGATTAAGTTAAGCCCTTTGATTCGAGGAGAAAGCCTTATAGTTTTCTTTTGGCTGGTGAAAACACTTGACACATTCATATAGAAGATGGTAAACGAAAACTTAATAAGTTTTGTGAACTGATAGACACGTCTAAACTCTGTGTGATGAATCAAAATAATCACGATGCTATTCTACGTTATAAACGCGATTATTTATCTCAAGAACTGCTACGGGGTATTTTACAAGTACTCATGGTCTCTCCATTCAAATTTTAACACTTTTTATCGAAAGACGTACGTTATGCAGAACAACCCGTAGGACAGTATACTTATCTCAGAGTAGTCATTTTATGAAATATTAAATACGACCTTAATTGTCTCAATAGACTGTGTGCAGCTTCTTTTTATTTTTGGTTTTTTTAAACACGTCTTTACAGAAAATTTAACGATCCGGATGTGCTAGATCGTCTGCCACCAGCGTTTCTTATACTTGGTGGCATTTTGCTGACAATCCAAGTCGTTGGCTTTGGACTGCTGCGTCCAAAACCAAAGCCAAAACGTGTAAGTTGACTGTTTTAGTTTGTAATAACCTGCATAAGTGTTTTTTAAATGAAAAATATTCCAAATACGTCATTCTCAAAAGAGAGTTGTGGATTAACTGATTTTAGCTCTATTTCCAAGTAAAATTATATTTACTTACAGTAATGCTATCAGCTCATTGTGTTATTAGCTGTGCCAACCTAAATAACTTGGAGAAAAATTAATTTGTCTGGTTTATTTCATGCAATTTATATTTTGGATTGACACTAGAGTTACTTTTGAGTCAAGAAGGTAACTGTGTAGCACACATTCCCTCCCCCATTTCTGTGTTTTAGTGATTATCATTTTATTTATGTTACACCGTCACGAAAAATATCTTTAACTCGAAAGCCTATCATGTGATTTCTTTTCTTTTGCAAGGCCACGAATTCTAATCCATGTAAAGAAGGAGATAATCCAGGTACCAATCCCAAACGGGAAAAACCATCAGTAAGTTTTGGATGCATATATATATATACCATTTAGGAATTTCTATGTTTTAGATAAGCTACTTAATTCTTAATGTTTGGATTAATACTTTCTTATGGCGTCTTTTAGGCAGTATAGTTAAGGGGTAAAAACAATTTTCTTCCAACGGTTGCATATACAAGATATCTACTTATTTATCATGAGTGGAGATCGATATTACTGTACTATCTTTGCATGATAACTTAACTATGTTTCGTAAATTCAGTAACTTACAAAAGTATGTAGTGATGTATATCAAAAGCTGCTTCTCGCCAGAGCTTTTAACCAGCCACTAGTGAGTTTATTTTGTCTAGAGTATTTTTATACGGACTCGAAACTAAGTTATATTATTTGATCGATATTTGTTGAATAAAATAACTCAGTTTGAAAAATTTAACAACATATTCATTTTTATTTTCTTAAAGTCGAATTACGGACCTCTTGAATGGGCATCGTGAAGGGTTCGATACAGTGTTTTGTGCCATCTAATTTAAAATAATTGGTAAATTTCGACACGGAGTTTTTTTACTATTCTGAGTAACTATGCATAAGTTTTAGTTGGTCGAAAACACTCGCTGGTAAGAGTTGAGGCAACATTTTGCCTTAAAATACTGAAGAGTATACCTCTAGCTTGGAATGAGAATGTTCAGTCTAAAGTTTTCGATCAGATAACGGCTTTTGTTGGTGGTTTTCCGGGGAGCAGTGATTAGTTTATGCTATTTATGAAATGACAATGCTGTGTTCGTCACCTAAAACGCCACCCAACTATTGAAAACAAGTGTTCAGCAAAAGTCAATAGTCACAAAAACATGTTGAAGACTATATTGACTAAAGTGCATTACCCCCTACACTAGCTAAAGTTATTTGATATAACATAGAGTGATAGTGTTTTAATTACTGGATAGTATTTTTAGCAGAAATTATTGACAGCAATCACACCAGTGTGTCTAGAAGACTTCCTGACTTGGTTTATATTGCTTTACTCTCACCTACTTTTGCATATACCTGGAACTGGTGTTTTCTCATTTCTATTGCACATATTAGATGTTGATTCAATGAACAAAGATTCATTGATTCAATGAAGATAGTGCATTGTTTTACAGAACAATAATTTTAAAGAATGTTTAAATGTGTTCATTTAACGTTATTTCCTATTTAACTGTAGGATGAAGAACATCAGTCAGCAAAGAATAAGTGAGTTTCTATTGTTTTGCTAAAATGGTGGCATTTTATCTATTTCGTCTCAACTTGTACTAATTTCCATGCAGACAGGACTCAATAGCCTTTAAAACTTGGGAAACATTTTATTTAGGTTGATTCAATTTGTTTTGTACTGCCATGATTTATCTTTATTTAGGATGTAAACAGGAAATTTGTTGCTTTATAAGTAGACCACGTGAGACGCTAATCTTCAAATAAAATACATTACAGAACATTGACTATCGACCTGTTTATTGTTTTCACTTCTTTCATTTGCAGTCTGTCGTAAGAGTCACGCATAATTGTTTATTGTTTACCTTCTCACGTGCTTCATATATTTTTAGTACAAAATACTGTGTTTTGCAACCAAATGACAAGGGAGAAACAGGTATAGTATAGGATTATTCAGCAGAAATCAAATACATTTTTACTTCTAAAAATGGCAGTTTACCAAGACCGATAGTATAAGACGTGTTGCCAGGCTATTCAAATACATTAGGATAAATGTGCTCAAATTCTGGTTAATGCATAATTGCATGCGTTTGAATCACGTCCTGTACCGTCAGCCATCAACTAAATGCGTATTAAAAAGATGCTAAATGATACTGTGAAACAGTTGAAGAATATTTAAGATGTCTCGGTAAAGTTTCATAGACTTTCATAATCTTACAGGAAGACATTTTTGAATCGTTTTGATTTAGTTTCAACATACAGCGTCACTGTAGTAAATAAATAATAGTACGTGTATTTTGAAATTATTTTTAACATTAGACTAACCAAGTAACTAGTGACACGTTGCTGTTTTTTAACTGCAAATTCTACTTCTAGTGAGATTAATATCAGTCCAAGACAAGTCTTTCGTTATATCGACTTCTATCTCTTATGGTTGATAATGTTCTGTGATATAATTCCAGTTACCATAATTACCTCAGCTTACAAGGTAAGTTAATCTTTATTCATCGCTACTGTTCCAGGGTTGCGTTTCTACTAACATTTTCTTATTCTTAAACTGTGATTTTAAGCTGGAAAAATTCGAAATCAAATTAAAAATGACTTTCTATCTATTGTTGGTTCTTTTTTGAAACTATCTGATTGTACGTCAGTAATAATCAAAACGACAAAATTAATTTTAATACAAAATGACTTAATAAACAGAGTCCTGCTGGATTTAAGTAACGAAAAAAGTAAGAATATGTCTCAAATAGTCCATTCTGCTAACCAGTAACTAAACTACAGCACAGGGTTCCTGAATATGTGCCAATTGCTTCTTATCACGATGTTACCAGGAAGTTTTATCATCAAAGGATGAAAGACAAGTGCAGAGGCTTTCAGTAGAAACAAAATCTTTAGGCATTTGATTGAGAAAACATGGGCTATCCAAGATTAGTTACAAACCGGTAAAACTCTGAGGTTTACTCAGCAATTCAGCTATTGTAACAAAGATTTATTTGTGAAAAGTTCTGTAATTTCTGCGAAGAAATGCTGATGAACAGTTCATTGTGATATGAAAAGTCAAATGTTTTCATCATAAATGGACGTGTGTTCATTAGTCTGGTTACTAGTGTGGCATTTTTAATGCTTTGATTTCAGTTTCCACTGAAGTTATGTCATATATCGTGAAATAGTGCAATAGATTTGGCTTTAAACCACCAAGAATTTAGGAAATTTAATTTGTTATATATTTTTTCAGTTATACTTCCAAGCTTTGTTTTCTTCTCACCTCACATTTTTGACTTACAAATTTTTCAGCTTTTTGGTCAAAAATATATTAGTGATGATAGATTCCTGTCAGGTGTGGCTACTGCGTCCGCACTTTTTAACGCTGCAGGACGTGTGATGTGGGGAGCAATTGTTGATCGCGTTTCCTTCAAGGTAATAAATTTTTCCAAATATTTGTTAGCTTTTAAAATGAATTTTGAAGGTAAATGGCTATACCTGTTGTCAAATATAGACAGCCAGCATATACATAAATTGTCTAGTTAAGGCATAGACTATCACCGATAGAAGTTAATTAACTACATTCATCGGCCAATCAAAACTGTGTATTTCTCCCTAAAAGTATATACTACTGATTCATTGAGATGAGTAGTTGCATGCAACTCACATAAACCAGTAGTCCTTGATAGCCAGATCGAGGTAATCTAAACACACGACAATCGTTTCTCTATTTTGAGGTCCAGATAACCAGCAGTGTACCAGGTTTGACTCAGCTCAGAGAATTGAACAAGTTGGAACCACCCAATTTCTGGCTGGCTACTTGATCGAACTGGCCATTCCATAAATCAAATTCACAGTTTGTAAATTGATTAGCTATTTGCAATTTACACTTAGTGTGATCTGAATAACTTGGTTCCCCAAGGAAACGACGGTGGAATCTCACCACTCGAACTGTGGAGACTGCAAATTGTCAAATAATTTGAAAAGTGGTAATTCGATTTGTTTTATTCTGCTTAGTTAGATGGCTTTCAACGAGTCTAACTAATATGAAAGCAGTCACACTCATTTCAAAAACGTAGTTATTTATGATACATCTAACTGTTTCGTCGAAAAAACCACATATCTCACATGGTATGTATAAATAATTATATGCGTACAAAGAGTCCCAAATAAAAATGAAGCTCTTGAAGGTTAATAAAACAGTCATATTTTTATAGTTTTTAATAAGCGTTTCTGTATTAAGTGTGGAAAAAGATTCTATTTTTTATTTAGGGAGAAATACAGCGAATTATCACTGTTATTCAAACACAAACTTGGTACAATATCAGGACAGCAAATGAGACACTTTAAAACCAGTAAACCACAATATATAGAAAACAAATAGGATAACTGGGGAACAGCATCATGAAAAAGAGTGTTTATTGCACCATGTTACTTCAGAAAGAGAGAACAAGAGCAAACTGCATCATGTTGGTCATTAGTAAAGGTTCTCAGTCACATCTGACAACATTTGAAGCCGCTCATGTCTTTAACAGCTACCTTCAGAATGTCATCAACTGCTAAGTAGAAGGGATATAAGGAGATTGGGTGACCCTTTCTCATCTCACTGTTGGAAGGGAACACTGGTGTTAGGTGACTACATGTTTTCACTATACTTGAATTGTTTTGTGTAAGGCTTTCAAGATGTTTGAAGATTTCCCAGGTATATCTGTCTCTGATATGCGATTCCAAAAGCTATTCCACCTAAAGGATAAAAGGCTGCTCTAACCTACAAAAATAGTTACTGTAAGCCTGCAATACGTGTACGAATAACGTTCTAGAAACTGACAAAGCGTGAACATGTGGTCATTGTTTCAATGATCTAGAGGAAACCCAGCCTGTTTTTTTGAGAATCAGTTTCTTATGCGTTTTACTTACCCTACAGAGCAAGACAGAAGCCAATATCTTAGACGGAATTGTTGGTATTAGATGGTTGGAGGCAATCGGCAGGAAGCCTTGACTGATAGAATTCAGTCTGCACCAAAGATAGGACTAGACACATTACACTAGTTACTGACTAGTTTTCAATCAACAAGGCTTCCTGCCGATTGCCTCCAACCATCTAATACCAACAATTCACAGTGCACCGTAATGACGAGCCACCTAGCATGGTGGCCACATTGCAAACATGACTGATAGAATTCAGTCTGCACCGAAGATAGGACTAGACACTTTACACTAGTTACTGACTAGTGTTCAATCAGAAAATCTTAGACGGAACTTGAAAGAAACTAAAACCCGATGAGTGCCGAATGTATTATTCAGGCCTTTATTAAAGAAAGGTACAATAATAGCTCCATTCAACACTGATGGGAGAGTGTCACTTTCCTACACTTTCCTGAACAACCTGGTAAGCCCCCTTACCCCCTAAGAGTCTCACTGCCATGTTTAAAAAAGCCATGGGTGAGTTTTCTTGGAAGGATGCGGTATGTCGCTTGACTGTTTGAAGTAGTATTGGGAACTCCACCTATTCTGATGGATCATTATGAACACGCAGCATTGTGATTATTAATATTGAATACTGGTTCTGCGAGTGACCAAAGTTCTGTTCTTCTCAGGATTACCAGAGTCTTTTTAAGTTATTAGACAGTGAACAATCTGCCTCACATATTGTCTGCCTAAACTATGCTTTCCCCTCCCACCGGCTCAAATGAGTTAGGATGGCTTCTAAATGTGGCCAAATGAAGCTTCTGAGTCCATCTAGCTCTTGTGTTCAAGTCATCAAGCTTTGAGGCCTTTACGTAATTGCTGCTGACGTAATACGCAAGAGCCTTTCGCAGATTACTGTTATTACTGCTTTTAAAACATGACAAAATTATACCGTTACCGTTCTAACATGCTTCAAAATTTTATATAAAAATTTCAGATACCTATGTGTACAATGCTGCTGTTATGGTCTTTCATTTTGATAACGTTCCCGCATATATGTTTGTTCACTGGCACAACACTGAAAGTTTTTTATACTATATGGGTATTACTTCTATTTCTATCTCTAAGTGGCACATTTGTTATTCAACCAGCAGCAACTGGCGCTCTATTTGGTCCTGTTCATATGGCTGTTAATTATGGTTTAATATTTACTGCATTTGTAAGTGATCATTATCATTCTAATCTTTTGATTCAGTAATCAAAATACACTCGGTACTTATATCACGTACTTATATTTTCACACACATTTTACTTAATATAAACGTCCGTCTTCATTTATCGTTAGTTTTGATGAGGTTCGTGAAATTTGAATGACAGGCTTAGCAACTTAACAGAAAAATTGAAGCTCGTACTAACTGAGGCAGTTAGCTGTATTAAATTGATAACTGTCAGGTTTACAAGGAGGTTTAAGGTGGCGTTCAGACAGTCACTGTATCAATAATTTCTTAACTTATGTGTGAACATTAACTGATTAGTATACGGAAATCAGTTTGTGCCACACTTTTTGTCATTGGATGAGTTGAAAAGCATATACCTCTTGATTTTCTCTTCTATTACCTGCATAATCTGATTTGTTTTTTATGTATATGGTTGAAGTTTACTCATCCTCTACAATGACGAGCAGCCATTCAGTATAAAACAAACAAATTTGTGGGTAATTAGTGCATTTTCAAAGTAGATTTTATTAAGCATATTGAAACGTGTGAAAGAGAAGTCATTATTTAGAAAAATCTAAACAATTTAATACAAAGTTGACTGCAATCACTGAATGCAAGATTATTCAAAGAAATTAGAGTGAATTTCCTGTTCTCACCAAAGGCAGCTGTTTGTTGACAGCTTTCAATTAAAATAACCCTGAACACTTGGATAACAAAAGCTTTCTTATTTTATAAAATGTGTTTTGAAGCTACTGCAAGCATTTAAGGTCTAACTTTTGACTACAGCTCACTTTACTTTTTATGACAATATTATAATTTGTGTTTATTATATTTAAAAAATTTCCCAAAGGCATTTGGAAGTTTGTTATGCGCATTGGTGACAACATTTGTGAGTTCGAAAAATGCATACCTTGTTCAGTTCACTGCATGTGGCCTGATATGTCTGTTTGGTAAGTGATAAGAAGTGATCATTTCGCTTAATTTTAAGGGAAAACTTATGTTTCCACTTTTTAGACCGACAGCTAACTATTACGCGAAAATATAGTTAGTAAGTTAGTTAAGAGTTGTCAATAGTCTGTTAGGATTTGTACAAAGCTGAGAAAAATAGTTGATTTCATAAGCACCTGGAGCACACTTTCCTATCTAGTGTTGTATAAAGTAGATACTTAGTTTCCTGTCAGCCAATTAGACCGGCATAATTGTTTGGCCACTATTTTTCGAACATGTCAAGCTAAAATGACAGCTTAAGTACTGTAACGAAATCTGATCGGTTTTTATGCATCTAGGATAGTTGAGAATCACTGATTTTCACTGTTCACAGTAGTGTTTATATTTTTATATTTTATAAAAAGAACAGTAAAATACTTTTTCAGTGATATAATCTATCCATCAGAAAGCAATTATTTGAAGTAGAGTATTAGGGAAAACAAATATGTTTAATTCACGCATGGGCGATTTCAGACAGTGTATAACTGACTATTTATAGTAAACAGCTAATTGTGCATTTAAGAGTTGTTTACACTTAACATTGAAGTAAAAAAGCAGATCTCATTCATGATAATTTAACACGTTATTAGTTCTTACAATCCTGAACAACACAAATATTGATAGGATTAATTTCACTTCCTTCATTTGTCATAATTGTGGCATCAATTCTAGTAAATCTCTGACCCTTTGTAACCTAGTTGTTTTGGTTTTCATGATTAAACGAGGTGAAATTTGACTGTCAAACAGCGTGACTTTTGTTGTCTAAGTATTCTGAAATGTGAAATATCACGTCTGGAGTTCGGTGGTACGATCAACCAGTTTATAAGGTCTTAAACGTGTAACTTTTATTCAGTGCCTAACATTTCGTCTAGTTAAAATTAATTTCAAATGTTGAAATATTCTTTACCTTGCTAAACTGCCTATATTCACAGGCAGAACATTTAACGCAAGTCAATGTTTTATATGATATAGCGATGCGGATAATGCATAAAATAATACTGAAATTCGTATATTAAGCTTTGGCAGGAAACAAAAATAACAGAATACCGACTGACCAAGTTTTACCACTATGTCAAAACTTCTGCATTTATTGGCAGAACAATATTCTGATTATTTTTTTGTTTAAATTAATTTCTACAGATAAGCGTATAATAAGATATCATATAGAAAAGAAATGATTGAGTGTGAAAGGCTATGAAGCTGAAGCTCGAGCATGTTCCATCAAATGACACCAGTAAAATGAAAATAACGGAAACAAGTTTAGGATTTCTATAATCATTTTTCACAAACTAAAACAAATAGATTTAATTCCGTTCAGATTTTCCTGTCGACTGAAATCATAATAAATGTGACTCATTGCAAAAGAGGTGGCTCCCATGGCCCGAGTGGTCTAGGGGATAACGCTTTGGCGTTTGAAACTATGGGCACTAGGTTTGAGCCTCGGTGGGAACACCACTACTCACTGGGGAATACAGTCACATCCAGATGACAAGTCCCTATTAGGACGAAATGAGCATCCTGGATTCCACTGCTAGTCACTATCCACCCCTAAGACAAATGGAGGTATGGGTATGTGGTTAAATGGGTATTGCAGAGAATGAATTGAAAAGGACAAAGTCATCTCAAATTGTTTCAAACAACATTTCCTGCCACAACATATCGATTGTAAACAGGTGTTGCGAGATGCTTTTAGTTACATGGAAGTTCAACAGGGCATCGTTATTGAAAACAAATGAAGTAGGATTATCACAAGGTCATGTAAGACAATTTTTTCCAGTCGCTTTATGTAAGTAACTCAAATATTACAGAAAGTAGATTATGAAGATATGGTCGCCGTAAAATGTCTGTCATTTCAAATCGATATGAAAAATTAAGCGTGAAAGCTGCCATCCAAGCGTGAGATTAGGGATTCTACTATACTTGGACGTAGTAATACTTACTTCATTTTTGGTTATTTCGTGTACTGAAGCCAACTCTTTCAGCAAACGATTCCTTGTCTTTAGAAGAAATATCCAAGAGTTTAATGAAATGTATTAAATGTTTGAATAGAAGTAGCTCAAATTTAATTATTCTCCTTTCTTCGGCCTTTTCTTCCATTTTAAATAGCATTCTGCCTTGCATTATGGATTAATGACCGAAAGATGCCAAAGCGCGTTAACTTTTGTCAATTCTGCACAAATGCTTGTTCAAGTCTAAGAATTCCTGAAATGGTGCCAGCTTCTGCTGAGGAGTTGGAAAAATTGAATCGACCTAACGAAAAGTCTTCAGTGAAATGTGAAGAGGCTTAAGAGAGAAAATTTAACCTTAATGGTTTTCAAATTATGGTCCCTACCTGACAATCTTTTTAATTTTGTTGTTTTATAACTTCACAATTTGGAAATAACTTTGTGTGTTGTGGAAGCTTCACCATCGTTAGGCCTAATTGGCACTACATGACATTAAATTCAAAGGAGAATTCTTCTAATATAACCACTGGTCTTCGCTCTTCCTTTTTCTTGATCTCTGATACTTACTGTTTGATACTAATTTTCAACTTGTTTCACATCTTTTATTGTTTGTTTATTTTAGCGACTATTTTGTACATTTCTGTCAGGATGGTTAAAATTCATTTGCATTGGATCATCTACAGGCTGTTTTACCCAGATGCTAAACAGGGAATATTTTCTATCCTGATTGTTTATTTTATTACTGTGTAATTGTAAAGATATTTAAGTTTGATGTACAAGAAGTCCGGTTCCAACAAAAAGTGATAATCATAGCACCTGACATAATTATGTAAATACCCAACAAATCAAAAGAGCAGCTATTAGTTTCAGGGGTTGGAAGTTTATTTTGCACACTCGATTCAACATTTTGTAGAACTAAAGACACTGAAATGCAAATACAGCTTCTGGTCCCAATGAGGTTCCAAAGCGCAATTTGAATTTCACTCTCCACCAACATTACATGTATACAGGTTGTTGTTTGGGTTAGCTTTATAACTGGTCTTCTATGATTGTGTGGTTCTTGCTGCCCATGTTCAATTGTATGAAAGTTATGAAAGTATACTGGATGATCTACAGTGTGTTTGTGAGTGTCAGTCACACACCACTGAAGTTTATTCTTTCACTTTCTGTATGTGTGCTATGCCTTAAATTACTATTGATAAAGTATTTTAAAAAGCATGAATTACTGCTTGAATTCGGCAAATATTTAGGTTTTGAAGACAAAACAAAATATAGTAAATAAAAAGCATACTCTTAGTAAGAATAGTGTAATTGTGCCACGTGAAAGTTTGCAATCAGGGACAGTGACTTGTTGTTTGGGTATTCCAATAGGAGAAATTCCGTCAAAGCGTTGCATATGATGTTAATTTTGCAACGATTGTGAAATGTGGCACTTTTTAGCAATCTTGCATATAATGCTTGTAAAAAACCAATACTGAAGTGTCTCTCACCAAGAAAAAGAAAGGAATTTAGTCCCAAACTGGTTTTATAAGATTGAGTGACGAAGTTGCTGTATATATACATTTATTGTTTCTGGCCTGCAAATCTTCCTTGCTACAGGTTAATGAATAAAAATTCTAATTTAAAATGGTAGGCGTAAGAAAACCAATAATTTTAGAAAGAACAAAAAATGGATTCTGTAGTTTATTTTGGTGTTGTCTACTAGTGAAGTCAAAGATGATTATTTTATTTCATTAACTAGAGACATTTGTATCAATGAGTTTGAAATCTTTCGTTCAAACATCATGCATAAAAATTATCACACTCTCCAAGGGCATACGCTAACGTGGCGGGAAACAGACTTAATGAAACTCCAGAAGACAAAGTCATACAGAAGAAAGAATAATTGATTGAAGATTGGAGGTTGTTTCTAGAATCTGGAAAATCACAAAGAATAAATATATCTACACCAATGAGAGCAATTTTGGGCGATGTTATGAGCATTCTCAAAGCTCTGATTTTTTTGTCTCCTGTTTACCTAAGCCAAGTAGTCTACACCTCTCTGAGAATTCAGACGAACAGTTAAAGGCTTTATTGACCGGTGATTTGTGTTGTTCTGATCACCTTATTCTATATCAACTATCACCGCTCGTTAAGGAAGATGACATGAGTAATGGATGTTCGCGTCACCTCATTCGATACTACTTCGCATAGTTATTGACTGAGGTTCTCTGATTAGCACACACATATCCCATTCTTATTATTATTGACCATATCGCCTCCACATAAGACGAGAGAATAGACGTAGAAATTCATGGTCTGAGACCGTTAAACTTTTCATGTCTCCCATCATAAACAGTCATATCTGACAGCGGTAAAGTACGAGGAAGTGAATTGTTGCACAGAACACATATCCTCATACAGACAATCGGATATCATATCAGCACCAAAGATGATGCAGGTTAGTGAATGTCGAACAGATCTTTCTATCCATTCTAAATTTTGATCAACTGTCAAAAGGTGTAACTTGCCAGTGAAGTGAAGTGTTCAACACTTTCAGCAGTTTTACCTCATATCCTTAAAATGAACGTGATGCAGGTCAATCCTGAAACATCATCTCTAATTTAACAGGCGTTAGTAACATGAGAAATACACACTTTTGCTTACACCGTTAGAAAGTTTCTGCAGTTTTTTTCTACGCACAAAGACAATGCATCTGTATGCTCTAGATCAGCAGCATTCTTCCATAATTCAAAACCAAACCTTGAGACACGGAAGTTGGCAATGGTTTTTCATCTCTTTAGATTGAATTTAAATTATAATGGTGAAAGTGGGCGGCCCCGATGACTTTCTGCGTGCTTTTAGATTGCTGCATGTATTCAAATGAAATGCCCTGATTAGTACAATACACTGTTCCAGCGTTCTGTTCACAGACAGATATTGTCACTGCACTTTTAGTTCAGCATGCTGAAATCCCACTTTCAGGTCAACAAATATGGTAGGCGTCGGATGCTGGTAATTATGCTTATGTTTCAGAACGCGTCAAAGGATGACAGTATGAACGGTAGGCCCTTGTTCGAGGTAGAAGCCATCCTAGTACTCTTGAATGGGTTCATTTGAGCTCTGAGCAGTCCCCAAAGGACTATGGAACCAAAGATCCTAGATGCTATGCTAGGCATTCTGATGCCACTTTAGTTAACACAGGAGGCGTTGTTCCCATTAGTGAACTAGAATAACCAAGGATATACTCCATTTCAATGAAACCACCTCCCAATTTCATGCTATAGCTAATAACACAGATAATCTAACCAATAATTGATCACCACCATTCTTAAATACTTATGGAATCATACCAATAAGTCACAGTAATTTGCTTCTTTGTTAAAGAAGAGACATCTGTTTTAATCTCAACTGAAACAGGAGTGCTGATATATGCATCCTATCCAGATACGAGTTAGATGGTAGGAAAATGAAGTTCAGAAGCAAACTAGTTAAAATTCAAAACCTTCTGGATATCCATACTGGGAAATCAGAGTATCCTCCGTACCAGGGGGTCATATTGCCAAGAAATATTTGAGTAGTTCAATCAATGTTATCATCTGCATCTATGAATCCCTCCAAAAAAGCGCTTGGGATTTTCTCCAATTCATAGACAATAGTTATTTTCATGCAACACACATTTTATGATGATTCTTTAAATCCCTTACAATACATTTTGTTAATGTCATTTAAAATCATCACCTGTTAGGCTGATGATGGTTACTTTCAACAACCCTGCATTTGAGATTCTCTAAATTACACTATTCCCTACGCTATCGTTTTATTATTAAAATTACACTATTTTAAAACTTTTGTAACAACTGTAATTTTAGATAAAAACCTGGGAGATTAGATGATATTATTTCATAAAGCTAATTTATTAATACTTGCTTTATAAAAAAACATTTCTGCGTTGATCGCAACCAAGTTCCATACAGCGTAGCAGTCTAATAACCAAGACAACAAAATTACAGCCAATATTTTAAATAAGGAAAACATTTTGCAAAACAATTTGTTAGACGAAAAACAGCTACACTACACGTGATGAAAAATAAATGATTCTTGAAGGCGCAACTGTCTTATAAACATTAAATTATTTACCAGTTTTCCCCTTAGTTTAGAAGGCTATCCAGTAGTCTATTTTAGTCAGCAATAGTATATCCATCTTTTAAAGCAAATATTGTTTTTACAATGGCTCAGCATGGAAGCAGTTTTTCTCGTCAGTGGTGCTAATAAGACTAAAGAAAAGCTGATAAATCAATTCTCCCTACATCTTGTGTTATCAGCAAGGGCTTTTTACCACCAACTATTTAAAGTGCCTGTTTGATACAACTTTCGTACAATATAATTACTTCTGATTAGAAGGATTTTATTGAGGTTTCTATGAAGTCAAAAAGTATAAAAACCACAGGATTTCTAACAGGTCTTTAATAGTTTCTCCTTTTTTTTATAAAACTGTCAAAACATTTCAATATATAGGTTGTTTCTTGAAAAATGAATCGTGTGCCTGAAAAAAGACTAGTGGTGAACAAAACAGTTTACGTTGGCTTTAGATTGTTAGTTTCATTTTTTGAAACTTATAATAAATATTTCCTATTTTCAAGTGTCGGCCTGTTAAAATTATGCGAATCCCTAAAGACCAGTTAGAAATCAGGGCGCTCCGGACAGTTGTTTGGTCCTTGTCCATGTAACATGAACGCCATGTGATTGGTCACTGGTGATGTCATGACTGAGCTACCGAAGAATTCCAAATTAGCACGAGGAAGTGGTACAATAAGTGACGACCATTAGTAGCGTGATCTGCTTTAAACTTTGGATACATTTGGACACTGATGTCAGAAACATGTCTTGATATTTGTGTTATGTGTTTTGTAGAAAAAATAGACTGAAATCTCAAAATTCCTAATGTACAAAAATCCAAATGATATAGAACGACTTTTTTCCAAACTATTTCATGATACATTTAGAAAACTCAACCATTGTCAGTGAATCACTTGACTGATAAGCAGCAATACTTTGTGTGAATACCATTTAAGTGTATTTCATTGGAATGCCTGAATTCTTTCTGATCCAGAAGATGGAAAAAATGTGACTTTTTGTTTAAGCTATGAGTGCAAAAAATAAAATAAATCACTAGCTGCTGCTTGTAACTTCCTGAGGAAGAAAGAATTTACTGATATAATGAGATCTTGGTTGATGACTCTATATTCATTTATTTAAAATACCTGTTATATCTGTTCACGCCTATAGTGTATAAAATTATGCTACAGTGTCATGTTAATTGCAAATTTAGGATAATATTTCTGTGGATAGGGTGAACTAATTTCTTGTTAATGAGTCTGAACTGGATTGATCAGCCTCATTTCAGCATACAGATCTTTTGAACTGATACCGTAGTTTAACCAAGATTAAAACACTGAAGTACCTTCTTTGATTACGGACTGCAATATAATTTAACAAGAGGATTTCATCTTATTCCGAATTAGTCATCTGGAGTTACCTGATCGTCGGTGAGTAGCAGTGTTCCCCTGAACACTCCATCTCTTCAAACACCAAAGCACTGTCAATGCTAATAACATCAATGCATAAGTTGAAGTACCCTATACGCGACAGTGATGTTCACTTATTCACTTCGAATGTATGAGTGGGAAACCACAATGGCAAACAAATGATTTTCAAGTATTGGTTTTGTGGAAAATTTTTTGTTTGATTGCATGAAGGATTTCATAGGTTACAGCAGGTTGAAGATGAGGCAGTAACTCATCGAAGAAGACATTGCGAAATGGTCACGCTATGTCGTGAATTGGCAGAAGTTAGAATTCAAGTACCATTGGATCGTGTCTCAGTGGCTAAATGGTCTACGAGCTCGCCTTGTAACCAGAAGGTCCTGGGTTCGAACCCTGGTGGGTGCGTGCTGATGAAGAGCCCCAAACTCGGACGAAACAGCTGTCCAGTACTCCCAGGTTTTCCAATGGTTCTCTAACTGATGTCAGCTCATGATGAAATCCTCCATGCAATTAAACAAATAATATCAAATCATGCCCGTTGCGCATGATGTAACTCTAACTGATAAATGGTTAATGGATAACGCTTTGGAGTTTGAAGTGTTGGGCATTGGGTTCAAGTTCCATTGTGAACACAGTCACATGAGGTGGCAGGTACATTAAAATGAGGAGTCATGGATAGGATGAGTCATGCGTCCTGCACTCTACTGAGAGCCACCACTAAGTAGGCTATCCCAAGTTAGTGTCCGATGGGTCGCAAAATATTTTATACCACACTTGTTAGATACATTTGAAATTGCTGTCAACTTCTCAGATTTCTGGACTGTAGCGTTATTCACATCTGTGTAAGAAGTAACTTGAGCTTAGCTAAGTCTTATATTGAAACTGAATTGCTACTACATAAACTGTGATTTTTTGTCAGAAAAATGGTAGGGGCTGCATTTTTGTCTTTCTCTTGTGTGTTGATCGAAGGTTTTATAAACATTCTTCCTCTGTCGTCATTATTTAGAGAATAATGGTAACACGACTAGGCGCAAAATCTTGCCATCAAAACAATATAAGGACATGTTGGATGAGATTTCAAGGAGACAGATGCAGATAAGCTAAACATGAA